ACTAATGGTAAATTTTCAGAAGACCAAGATTCCAGTCTTTACCAGGAGATGTGTTAAACATAGATGGCAGATCGATGGACATAACATAGAATAGGCAAAAATCTTTACAAATCTAGGTGTAGTGTTTCAGTTGACAGATTCGTGGAGGGCTGAGATGACCTAGCTTACCGAGTGCCCAAAGACTGACATCAGCTGTTCTGAGATTTTTCTACTCAAAAGGGGCTCACATATCCCCTGCTTAATTAAAGTTTTCCAAAATAAAGTGACACTTCCATCTCCTGTATGGTTCACAAATCTGTTTGTACAAAGACATGGAAACAGTTCAGTCTAAATTCTTAGATGTATATTTGGTGTTCCTCGTTGTGCACCAAATCAGAATAAAATTGGGGCAGATGTCACTTAAAGCTCGTAGTTGGTATCCAGCTATATGTTTCTGGCTCAAGCTAAGCCTTAAGTCCTCTGGATTTAACCCCCTTAATTCTTGCAGCTGGCCACCGTTCAGGTTGGGTGGATGCGGCTGAGAATAAAATAGAACTGCTTGGCTTCTCCTCCTTAGCAATATCCCATCTTGGTTCTCAGGAGATAAAGAAATACTCAGACAACGAATCTGGGATTACAGCTCTTCAAGCCAATAGAGTTTGGGCACATCTCTATCCAGTGGCAGGGAATCATAGCCAAAACTTTGTGCTGGGGAACTATCTTTATGCTTTAGAATTCCCCAAATACCACAGAGTTTTCACCCTAGCCTCAGTGCTATTTGAAGGAAGATACTTACATATTCCCTGTCCTCAATGTCTGTGGTCCTGCCAATTGAATGCAATTGAAACAGTGGAACATGTATTATTATATTGTCCATTTTATAAGGACATCTGTTTCATTTATCTCACCCCTATTCTATCCAAGTGCCCAGGAAAATCTGGACATTCTACACATATCTCCTCTTTGTAGACTGCTCCAATGAGACCACCTCTGAAGTGGACAAATTCTGTACTGAGACTTTCCATAAGAAAGCAGATATTCCAAACTTTTAAATCACTTTTATGTGTAATATTACAGCACAATAAGGTTATGACTTTTAATCTTTGTATATTAATTTTACATTTATATATAAACTATGCTCTGTTGTTGACTGATCTGTTGATTTTACTAAATGTTGTTGACTTGTAACAACATAAGATGCATAAATTGTAATTTAGCATATATTGTTACAACATTTGACATATTTAGAAAATTTAAAAGTATAAATGGTATTCTTTTCTGTAAGTAAAATCTTGTGTATACCAAATATTTATTTATTTACTTCATTTATAATACTGCACTAGAGTGCTGAAGAGAGACAGAGAGCTGCAAACTGCTATACTCAGTGCTACCTTAGCACATCTTAGTTTTTGCCATTTGATAGGTAGAAAAAAATGAAAGTTGAAAATAGAAAAAATAGTTGCGAAGGGGAAAAAAAGTATGTTTGGGCAGAAATAGTCTCATACAGTCATAGTAGGACTAGCAGCGTCCTTGGATGTTCAGTCAAACTTTCTGTCATTAAAATCACAAACTGTTCAATGGTATATTATTATAAACATAGCAAATGGTTTGGATTCTTTCCAGTTTGGTTTCAGGCCTGGTTATCGGACTTAAACAGTCTTGGATGACCTGCGCCAGAAGATAGAGTACAGTACGGAATTGTTGATTGTCCTGGAACAAATAGCAGCTTTCAGTGTCATCAAACTTGGTATCCTTTTGGGACTGCCTTTCTGGGTTGGAACTGGGAGTTGCTGGGTTCTGGTTCTATCTCAAGTCGCGGTGCCGCCGGGGAAGCCGGGTTCTGTGCGCCCTGCTTGTCAGGGGATGCCCTTTGCTGGGGAGGGAGATTGGGAGGGCTCCAGCCAAGCTGCATGGTTGCCTTACCCCCCTCCATGGGCATTAAACAGGAACGCAGCGAAAGGCTCTTCATGGGCCTCTTGCTGCCAGTGCCATGGGGGGGTGCGGGGGGTGCTCTCTGCCGGGGGGAGGGACGGCCCCAGCCAGGGTACACGGTTGCCTTCCCCCACCTCCATGGGGGCCTTTAAACAGAGCACAGCGAGAGGCTCTTCATGGGCCTCTTGCTACCAGTATAATGAAGGGGACTGCAGGAATAGTGGGCTTGTCCATGCTGGCTGGGGTACCTGTGCCATTTCACAAAGTATTGCAATATATCCCAGCAATGTCTGTTTTTACCACTTTTATTTTTCTGTTTTGTGATGTCATGTCCTATGATATCACTTCCAGGTCAAAGATCAGGTGATATCACTTCCTAAGCTCCACCCCTACCAATGACATCACATCTTACATGAAGCAAGTTTGGCCATCCCTGTATTAATCTAATCACAGGTAACCAGGCATGCATCATAGTGTCCATATGTTTTCTGCCCAGGAAAAGCTGTAGCTGGCTAACCAGTTGAAGCAGGTAAAAGGCTCTGCTGGCCACAGTTGCCACCTGCTTATTCAATAGTAGGTTTGGGTCCAAGAGTATCCCCCCCCAAAAAAAATACCCCAAAAACCTACAGAACTGTTCCTTCAATGAGAGTACAACTCTCCAATGTGTTGATGCATGATTAAAAATCCAGAATTTTTAAAGTTATGAAGTTTAACTTGATATCCCAACTGTGACATATCAGTGTTTCTGACCAACTGATACACTCTTCTGATTACTATAGAATTTGTTTTTCACCTTTAGCTTGTATTTTTTCTTCAGCTTTTATTTTTTCACTTTCAACTTTTATTTTTGTCTTACCTCTCAGGAGGCAGAAATTAAAGATATGTGTGCTATGGTAGCGTAGGGTGCAGTGGTTTGCAGCTGATTCTCAAGTGTTGGATATACTTACAATTTTTTGTAGAAGAAAATGAAGACATTTATAATTTTAAATTCCATAAATATGCGAAAAACTACAGTTTTACATGATACTTAAGTTGTAATGATACAGTCTATGTTGTTAAATCAGAAAAAGAACAGGTTACCTTAACAGGATAGCCTGGTCTACCATATCAAAGGCTGCCGAAAAATCCAGTAACAACAACCAAAACATACACATGTCCTTTGTCATAATTCAGATGGGGAGCGTCAAAGTCACAAATGCTACATCTCAGTGTGGATTTGATTTAAGTCACTAATCAGGAAGACCTGATTTGGTCATAGTTTTCTCCATAAAAGTCCATTCTTGCGTGTTCACAATTTAATGCATAGTCACAACTCAGAGATAGATGCAGTTTTGATTTTTAGAAGGTACACACTGTACATTTTTACAGAGTGATGCATTTTGAAACATTACAGGTTAGTTTTACAGCTGTATCAAAGTGAATAATTATATGATTATTTGGCAAAGGTAGTTGAATAATATTTGGAGGATTTTCTTGCTATACTGTATTAAGAGGAGAGCAATACCTATCATCATACAGACATTTACATTGTGTTATGTAAGTAAAACAAGAACGTTATACATTCTGGATATGTAATATTTTAATTAAATAAGCATATACTTTTTCAAATTTGCGTAAACACTCAGATTTCTTAAAATCATGTTTGTGCATGTTTAACTGTTAGCACTAAATGCCAGGTAAATGCCACCTCTGGTGATATAACTGGAAATGATGTCACACATTGCCATGATGATTGCCCTCAAAACTATGGTAAAACCAGAAGTGATGTTGTGGTGTTGTGCGATGCTTGCCCAGCTCCCTGAAGCTCCTAGACAGTAGGGTTAAGGTCTCATTCTCACCTCTCTATATAATGTATTTTAAAGCATTTTTATCGATAACAAGAAGCATGTTATCTTTGGAGAACAAATCCTTAGTTTGAGAAATGTAAAGCTAAACATGATTTAAAGGGCCCTCCAGCTGATCAGCAGGAGCACATTGCCTGCCGATTAGCAGGAGGGCCCTTTAAATTCTCAGGAGGAGAGGGAGAGGGGTTGCCACCAGTCGTATATCTTAACTTTTTCTTATCTTATCATTCTTATCATATCTTAAAATTTGCCACTTGGAATTCAGGCACGGGCAGGCCCCGCTCGCAATAAACCATTTTAAGGGAAGCTTCCCTTTAAATGTTTTTAGTGAGCGGGGCCCACTTATGCCTGAATTCTAAGTGGCAGATTTGCCGCTTGGAGTTCAAGCTGCATGACACCTGGCCCTGCTTGCAAGAAACTATGGTTTCTTGCAAGCGGGGGCTGTCCGCGCCTGAGTTTACCGCTTGGAGTTCAGGCGCAGGTGGGCAGCCAGCCCCTCTCACAAGAAGTCTTGTGGAGTCTTGTGACCAAAAATTCTATTTTGTGAGCTACTGGCATTAAAGTTGTGAGTGGGTGATTTGGCTACTGCATAAGTTAGTTTGCTATGGAGCCATCCTTCCTGACCTAAGACAAAAATGTGTGCGCCGAAGGCTAAAAAACTGTGAGCTAGTTCACACTAGCAGGAGCTGCGGTGGCTCAAGTGGTAGAGACACTGAACTGCAGGCTGTGGAGACCCGAGTGTGTTGCACGACGGAGTGAGCGCCCGTCTCTAGTTCCAGCTCCTGCCAACCTATCAGTTCGAAAGCAAGAAATTGCAAGTAGATAAATAGGGACCACTTCAGTGGGAAGGTAACAGCATTCCGTGCGCCTTGGTGTTTAGCCATGCCGGCCACATGACCATGGAAACGTCTTTGGACAGCGCTGGCTCTTCGGCTTTGAAACAGAGATGAGCACCGCAACCCTAGAGTCAGATTCGACTGGCTTTCGAGCAGGGGAACCTTTACTTTTACTTTAGTTCACACTAACTCAGCTTAGAGGGAACACTGCTGATAGCTATGTCAGTCAAACCTGAATGTTAAAAGATATCACTTTTCATCAGACAAATGAGGGTTTTTTTCAAATTTGTATTGGTGCTCTTGAAAACAAAGTATGTTCTTTTTTAAAAAGAAGTACCCAGAAATCATAACATGGAAAAAAAATCTATAAATTAATGGTCTATTTCATACACAATAATGTGTCTTTCAGCGGAAGCTTGTGCAGATGTTTTGCGGCTCGCCAAAGAAGCAAGGAAGCGAAATCTTGGTCCACTTCACCCTTCCTTCAATGTGATGAAGATCATAAAAGATGGACTCTGCAAAAATCTTCCAGAAAATACTCATCAGTTGATGTCAGGGAAATTGTGTATTTCACTTACTCAAGTGTCTGATGGCAAAAATGTGTTGGTATCCAACTTTAATTCTAAAGAAGAAGTTGTTCAGGTATGTTCTAAGTTGTTGCTACTGTTTTTTTTAGCAAGCCATGTTGCGTTACCAGTTCTGCACACTGTTCAGCATATTGCTCACAATACGTAATGAGATCTTAAATATATCACCTATATCTCAAGCATATATTTGCATGAGGATAAATGCCTGTGGTCAACCACGGTTTCCTTTCGGAGAGGCTGGCTGGGTTGGGAAGGGGCGAGGCAACATGCTTTAGTGGAGCCACTGTTACCTGTCTCTCCAGTTCCAGAAAGTGGTGCATGGGACTACTGCTCAGCCCTGTGACATTCATACTTTGGAGCCCCACGGGGATCCATTCTGTCCCTCATGCTGTTTCACATCTACATGAATCTGCTGGGAGAGATCATCTGGGGTTTTTGAATGGGGTGTCCCAATATGTGGATGATGCCCAGGTCCATTTCTCATTAACAGCTGAGCTGGTTGGATCTGTGGAAGTCCTGAACAAGTTCCTGGAGAAGGTAATGAAATGGATGAGGGCCAGTAAACTAAAAAAAACAGATGAAGCTGTTCAAAGAAATGGTAATCAGCCTGTGGGGAGGTGCATTCCCACTGAAGTACCAGGATTGTGGCTTTGAAGTGTTCTGAAAAAAGAATGCACAGTGTCCTGATTAACAAACAAGAGGCCTAGCCCCAGAGAAAACACATACTCTGGTGGGAACCAGGCTATGAAATCCTCTTGTTACATGCAGAGAATAGATGTTCCCTCGTTTTTGGAGACAAATGATAAGGAAAGCGGTAACATTTACCCACATGCCAAGAGTAGGCAGGATTGATCACTTTATTCTAAGATAGGGCCATAAAAATCCAAGGACAATCAATATGTTTTGATTGGACAAAGGCAGAACTGATGACGTCTCAGTCCATTGCAGGATAGGCAAAGCACCATTCCTCCCAATGATTTAAAAGATTTAGCGTGTTTTGTGCAACGTGCACAATCTAAGACCTGGGGAACAGAGTGAAACTGAGTGAAGTGAGCATTCACATCCCCCATGTCAAAGTTCCAGCTTTCCTTGTGCCCAGGGCAATTTTTGGGCAGGAATGCACAGGAACGGAGTTCCGGCTGGCTTCCAAGTTAGCCACGCCCAGCAGGAACCCATTAGCATAATAGGCCACACCCAACAGCAGAAACTCATTAGGATTGGCTACATTAGGGGTGTGTGGCCTAACATGCAAAGGAGTTCCTGCTACAAAAAAGCCCTGGGTTTTGACAACAAACAAGGTAAACAAAATAAGAAGCAAAAGGTGGGTGTGGCTGGATGAGCACATTTCTGGTAACATGGGGGTGTGGCCTAATATGCCAATGAGCTGTGCTGTCAGGGGGTGTGGCCTAATATGCTAATGCGTTTCTGTTGTTGGGTGTGGCCTATTGTGCTAATGGGTTCCTGCTGGGCTTTATCTACGAAAAAAGCCCTGCTTATGCCCATTCCTCTAAAAGGAATGTCAAGGTAAAACCAGAGACTTGTTGAACTTGGCTATGTTTTGATTCTTTTCTTAGTTTTCTGTAATGTTTGTGCTATTCTGATATCCTGTGTATCTGGGCTCCTAGTTAATAGAGATGTTCTCTTCTTTTCCCTCTCATTCATTTTATCCTCACAATAAATCTATGAAGTAGGCTAGGCTGAGATTGTGTGACTGGCAAACTTCCATGGCAGACTGGGGATTTGAAACTGGGCCTCCCAGTTCCTAGTCCAACACTCTAAGCACTACACCACACTGGTTATCCCAGTTAACAGTTCTGTTGAGGCCATCAACAGGGTTTCCTCTCAGTGTCCTCTTCTGCTCTCAAAGCAGAATCTAGTGTTTTGGTTTACTAGAGCTGGGTGATCTGACAAGAGCAGGCTGATGTCTAGAACAGCTTTGGAGGAAAACTTGGAGTGAATCTGACAGAGTGTGCTATAGAATCCACTTGAAGGCCTAAGAGGTGGGGATGTTAGTGGTGAAGAAAGCATACCTCTTCATGGCATCAGCTGGTATGCATCAAGCTCATTGCTTGCTGACTCCTAAGTCTAAGTCTTTATAAGTCTTTATATTCTCAGTAAATGGTGACTAGTTGTAACACTTATGAAGATTGTTACTGATAAAATACCTTAAATTCATTCTGGTTTGGGCGCCAGTTGTATTACAGCTCAGGTAAAGTGCCTGGTGCCTGGTGTACTGTCTGGTCAGTTTATGGATTACTTCTATTTGGTCACCAAGTTGGATGTCAACAGGAACTTAGGATCTTTGAAGGCCTTCACTCCTCTCCTTGATCTGTGTCCATCCTGCCACCTGAAATCTTGAAAGGAGCAAATTAATGAGCCCCTGATGTCTACAATAAATCAATCACTGGCTCAGGGTGTCTTCCCCCCCCCTCGCTAAAAGAAGCAATTGTCTGGCCTTTAATCTACCCTTCCTGGGCAAGGTGATTGAGAAAATTGTTGCAGAGCAACTCCAGGACTTTCTAAATTACCCATCTGCTCTAGAACCTTTTCAGTCTGGCCTGCTGTCATGTTGAGGTGTCTGAAGACAGAAGTATGTATCAAGGGAGGTGCTTTGTATTAGTTTAATTCATTCCTTAGGGATTGGACGCAGAGGGTTGCTGTTAGAGACTACTTGTCATCAGGGAGGTTTCACAGGGCTCAGTTCATCTTCAGTCTGTATTGCAGCCCCACACTGGGATGGCACAGGCCAGCCGCGGTCGGATTTTTTGCTTTTAATTTTTAGATTTTAGGAACCGAGGGAGCTCCTCCTCTCCCTCCAGAGCAAGCATGGCGGTTGCCCGCCCAAACAGTCATGTGCTCTGGAGGCACCCCCCCCTTTCCATCAGTTCCTTTTTTGCTGCTGCTCAGTGAGGAGTTCCTTTGCTTCACTCTGCGCTTAGTAGCTTGTTCCTGCTTTTTTTACTTTCGTTGGTCGTCTTTGTCATTGGAGTACATTCCCTTGGACTGCTGGTCACATTCTCCTTTTTATTATTCTTTGTTCATTGAGAGAAAGGTAGTGTTCACTGACCTCCCCCCTCCGCCACAGCTGCCTGACTCAGGGCTAGCCTGTTGCCGCTCTTTTGGCATGGCTCCCAAGGCCCTTTTCGAGAAGTACACTCGATGTGCTAAGATGACGCACAGCGACAAGCACTTGGGTGAGGCTTAGAATGTTAGTGCCTGAAAAATTTGCCAAGGGTTCACCCCAAAGGCCAGATCGGGTAGGCTCTTCCATTTGAAGGCTGTGCTATGGAAAAAATCACTTACCTCTGGAGACTCTGCAAAACTTTAAGAACATAAGAGACGCCAATGTTGGATCAGGCCAAAGGCCCATCCAGTCCAACACTCTGTATCACACAGTGGCCAGAAATACCAGGTGCCATCAGGAGGTCCACCAGTGGGGCCAGGACATTAGAAGCCCTCCCACTGTTGACCCCCCCCAAGCACCAAGATGACAGAGCATCACTTGCCCCAGAGTCCCTATCTATACCTTGTGGCTAATAGCCAATGATGGACCTCTGCTCCATATGCTTATCTAATTCCCTTTTGAAGCCATCAATTCCCTTTTGAAGCCGTCGAACTTTCAGTTCTGGGACTGCAAAGACCAGCCTCCACTTGCTCGGTTCTGATAGTTCCAACCTCCAAAGCACACTCTCGCTCGCCTTTGGTATGATCAGTTCCAGAATCCACCAGTTCCAGCTGGCCCCATTCAGAGCCCAGCAGGCCAGTTCTTTTTTTTTGGGGGGGGGTGTGAGTATTTTGTGTGTGTGTGTGTGTGTGTGTGTGTGTGTGCTTGCAAGCCTGGAGGTCATGATGACTTCTGGCAACTCCTAGTGGGGCTAGGATGTTTCGGACAGGTGGCTTTGTTATTACCTGCCTCTACATCCCAGCCCTGGTATTCCTTGGAGGTCACTCCTCCAAGTACTTGCCAGGGTCAGCCCTACTTAGCTTCCAAGATCTGACGAGATTGGGCTTGCCTGGGCTATCTAGGTCAGGGCTCCAGCAGGCCAATCCTGACAGTTCTGACCACTGAATCAAGGTGTTGCTCCCCCTCACCACCTCCTCCTGTCAGAGATCATAGCATCTTGGAACTGCTGGCCAAGAAGGGCCGGCAGAAGACTAAACATAGGGAGAAGACGAAGCCTCTCTCAAAGAAACAGAAGAATGCTTCACCACCCCTTACATCATATTCAGATGTAGTAGTCTTGGTTCTGCCATGTACCCCCTCCCTGAGTTCTGAGTCTCCAGAACAACTGTTTTTGAGATTGAAATGGAGCCAAAAGAATAGCCTCAACGAGAATGCCAGTCACCTCAAGTGGACACTGCTAGGCATGATCACTGGCCTTCAGCTTATCCACTTCCACTTCCACCATGGCCACCGTACTACATGTCTCCTGCATATCACCAGGAGTGGTATAATGCCTACAGGCTGATCCTGAACCCGCTTATCGTGGCCTACTCAGAGGCCACATATCATGATTGGCAATTGCCTCTCTTGGCTGCACCCTCTTTGTGGAATAAGGACCACAGGTAGAGACGGCAAGGGCTTATTACAGCTCAGAGATCCCTTCGGAGCCCTCCCTGGATGCCAGTCAGGAAGGCTGCAGTCTTGAAAATTGTTATGCTGCCCATATTTAAGGGAATTTGATTAACGCTCACTGACCTAGTTAAGAGTCTAGAGGTAATATTGGACCTAGCATCATTGCTGGAGAAGCAAGTTAATGCAGCTGCAAAAAAATGCTTACTTCTGTCTTCACTTAGCCCAAAAGATAGTTCTATACATGATCTGGTCAATCAGGCCACATTGATCTATGACATGGTAACTCCATGGCCAGTGTGTTGTGATGCACTCTACATGGGTCTGCCCTTAAAGACTATTCCAAAACTCCAGCTTGTACAGAATGCTGTAGCTCATTTACTACAAGGCACTGTGTTTTCACCTATTCTTCAGTTACTGAATTGGAATGGATACCTATTAATTTCCAGGTACAATAAAAGGTATATAATTCAGTTTGTAGGCTATGACCTTACAAAGCCCTTATTTGGCCTTGGCATAACATATTCAAAGAACCGCCTTTCCTGATACTCTCCGCCACAACAGCTGCATTCATAGGAAGAAAGTCTTCTGAAGGTGCCACTCTGCCAGTGGATAAGAACACCAGCTGCTTATACCCAAGTATTCTCTGTTGTGGCTCCCACATTATAGACTGGCTCACACGTGTACCATTCCAACATGTTTAAAATAGAATTATTTTGGAGGGCATTTGTATAAAGAGAACAAAGCTTTAGTTAATCTAGTTTAAGGTTGTTGTCACTGTGCATATTATACTGTATTAACATTATCCTCTAATTTTGTAATCCAGTTTTAACCCAGATTCATTACTATTCTGTGTAATATAGTGTCTCACTGCATTGTCCTTCAATCTTGTAATACTGCTTTATTGTCTGTATTAGTGTGTTTTCTAATTCTGTTGGTTCTGTATATTATGTTGTACATACTGCATTGCTTTTAATTGTAATTCCCCTTGAGTCTCAGTGAGAAGAAGTAAATAAAATACTGGTGTGCGCAATAACTTGCAGAAAATGTTTCTTATTCTGTACAAATGGTTATTAACCATGCTGCTAACAAAAGCAATAAATTGCATACCAATGGGTTACACACAGATCTAGGTGAATAACTGGATTGTGAATAGTGGTCATAAATTTGCAAGATTGATTCCCATCTTTAAACTCAGCTACAAAAGAACATATATTCAGTTTCATTTTGGATGGTACACTGCCCACTTCAGATCAAGCAAGTAAGTAAGGCATGGGGCAGTGCTTCAAGAGATGTAAAGCAACTGGGGACTGTTCAAGTTTTTTGGAAACAAGTCATAGTATAGGGAAACACAGGTTACCAGGTGTCTTTTGATCCAAAACTTCTGCAGTCTTACTTTGTCTCTCCAAATAACTGTGTAGGCTTTTTAAGCTGCTGCCAAACTTTGTATGCCCAACAGTGGGAGTCCTGCATGATCCTGTCAAGGTACCCAAGCCTGGGTCCCTCTGAGCCACTGCCTCACGAGTTAGCAAGTAGTGCACAAACTCATGGGTCCGTGAGGTTAAATGCACACAAGAAAACCACAACCTTTAAAAAATACATGCATAGGTTTATTGTGCAATTAAATTAGGAACATTACTAGGCAACACAGTCTCTAGAATTAATCAGCGAAAAAACAACAAAGGATAACTTTCCTTGTTAACACTTTAGTACGGGGCATTAACTGGTGCACCATTCAAAATTGCAGAGTCCAGGCTAGAAGCTTATGCATTCGTCCCATGGGATTAAAAGTTAGCATAGTGTCATTCTTATCTAAGGCTCAATTATATTCTTGCTTTCTGGCATCAGGTAGTCTTCAAAATCCAGTCAGGGTGCTCGTTTGCTGGAGCCCTTCAGAAGATGATGCAACTTTCTCCTGGTTCCACCTTCCCATCTAGTTATTGAACTGATTGCAGGTTTTTACACTTAGCCAATTACCATATTCTGAAATTTGGCCTTGAAAGAGACACAGAGGGAGCATTCACGTGCCGTTTGATCTGGTGTTGTGACAGTTCAACTACGGATTTTATGCATGATCACACAGTCAACATCTGCCTCCTGTCCCCTGCCATTGGTTTCCGGCTCAAAACCCCTTTAACCTGGAGTATTTTGTTACCAGGTCCCAAAGTGGTGTTTTCTCAGCTCTCCCGTTTAAAGCCACAGTTTCCCCTGTGTGATCGCTCCTCCGGTGTCAAGCCACTTCTGGTTTAAACCCCCTCCCCGCTCGAAAGCTGCCCGAGGCTTCCGCTTTTCACCCGCCATTTTTTTTAATGTGTCGGCGGTGTGTGCATAGGCGGAGCTCTGCTACCATGTTTAGAAACCTGACATTTAAACAGTCACTTGTTGTAGTGTTTAGATGAGTTCGGAATCTCACGGAGGCCATTTTCGGGTCAAACGTTTAAAGGGAAGTTTTTTGTTGGAGGGGTTGGATTGATTCGCCCTGGTGGTTCTGCGCATGCGCCATGGTAGTTTCGCCCCATTCTATGGATGAATGCCTATGCGCATGCACAAACTGAGAAAATTTTTTAAAACCCCACCGACACACGCTCCCGCGCATCGGTAGTGTAGACGACGGGGAGCGATGTGACTGCACAGGAGGGTGATAAGGGAGGTAAGTGTGATCACGATTATCCAGATCAAAGATAATTGCATCAGAACTGGACCAGTTTAAACTGCTCTCAGCACGCCATCTGAACACACCAGATAGTGTCTAAAAGAAAGCCTAATTACAAACACCTGCAAACTTAAACAGACCTACTATTATTCACGTTAACCCTTGGTGCAATTAGGGTGCTTTGCCTCACAGAACCCTTCCTCAATTTTTGGCTTACTTAGATATACACTGGAATATTGCTATAAAACAAAAATCAAGTGGTACCTTAAAGACCAGCACACTTCTGCATCAACTCCTACTTTTTCTCTTATTCTAGTGTTTATACTTGAAAGGTTCATAGTAATTGACATCAAGCCTTGACTCCTCCCTCTATAACCTCCTCCAAGAACAATTCCTCACTATGGTTTTCCATCACATATGTATCTGATGATGTGGGCTGTAACTCACAAAAACTCATATTTAAATAAATGTTTTTTCAAGGTACCACTGGATTTTTGTTTTATGTTGATACAGCAGACTAATGCGGCTACCCTTTGAAATACTGTTATCATTTGCAAGTTCATGGACCAAATATTAGTGACCAGGGGTATAAAAATGAAAAATGTGTTTTACTATATTAGGATGCCCTTTCCTACTTTGACTGAAAGCCACTATTAGCACATAGGAAGTCTTCTGGTTATCAGAAGTGAATGTGCGTCTAACCCTATTTTATTTTTTTATAGGCTTTGCTTTGCAGCTCCTTTGTACCTATATACTGTGGCCTCATTCCACCTTCATTTAGAGGGGTGGTAAGTATTGTTCAGATATTCTTGACTATGGAATAGCATGAAAGAACTTGTAGGGATGTCTAAAATGTTGTAGTAATTCTTCCATCTGCTAGCGACAAAAATGTTGCAGGCCACCATCATCATTGGAAATTTTAAAAGAATTTTAGACTTCTCAGCTGGTAAGGTTTTGAACACAATTATTCATATTGCACAGATGGTACATTAACACTAGAAGTTTTTGGTGCTCCTCAGCAGACATTATCCTATTTTTTGGTGATACAGGATCAGTGATTAACAGTGCAGTCCTACGCAGAGCTACTCCACTGTAAGTCCACTGACATCAGTGTGCTTCGACTGGAGTAACTCTGCATAAGATTACACTGTAAGAATACTGTTTAGTCATTGGCTGTGGGGGGTTTCCCCCCTCAAATGTGCAGCAGGCTGTGCTCAGCAGTCTGCACCTTTTTTCTGAAGGGGATCCCCTTCTGTTATAGAACATCTTCAGTGAACCCATTGAACAATATTTGGGATTCCAGAAATGTAGAACTTGCTTGTGTAACATTTACGTGGTTTGTGTGATTGCCATGTGCTACATGGCTTTTTTGCACATGGTTACCTCCTGGAGAAGAGCTGCGGTGGCTCAAGTGGTTAAGACACTGAACTGCAGGCTGTGGAAGGTCAGTAGTTCAGCAGTTCGAGACCCGAGTTGCCGCATGATGGAGTGAGCTCCCGTCTCTAGTTCCAGCTCCTGCCAACCTAGCAATTCGAAAGCAAGAAATTGCAAATAGATAAATAGGTACCACTTCGGTGGGAAGGTAACAGCGTTACGTGCACCTTGGTGCTTAGTCATGCCGGCCACATGACCACAGAAACGTCTTCGGACAGTGCTGGCTCTTTGGCTTTGAAACGGAGATGAGCACCACAACCCTAGAGTCGGATTCGACTGGCTTTCAAGCAAGGGAACCTTTACCTTTTTTACCTCCTGGAGATTCATTTTGGTATTAGAGTTCAGTAAGCCTGCCCCCTCTTTTCTCTAACACTGCTGCCATTATAGAAACTTATTCTGAATTATTTCCCCCCAGCCCCCTACATCTATTAAATGGGGGTGGCAGAATGCAGAGTTGTAACTGGAAAGTTGCATATTGGGAATATAATGGCTCGGTGGTCAACTGGCCCTGCCCTACGCCAGGGGCCCAGTGCATAAAGGCGGCTGCAGACGGGCAGCAGCAGAACCCTGCTGGCCATGTTCAGATGAGCAGCTGCGGCCGAGAGGGCAGCCACTGCTGCAGGATGATCTAATGGCGCCCTCCGGGCATCATCACCGCCAGAGGAGTCGCGCTCGGCTGCCTGCCAGAGAAGGTCTCTGCCCCCATGGCTTGGAAGAGGAGACTATCCCCCCCCCCTGTCGGGCTAGGGAGGCCGTGGGCAACCTGAACATGCTCCGAGCCTCCACCTGCAAAGGAAGCCCCACCAACCACCCTGGAGCGATTTCCTGCTGCCCTTGCACTCCTTCCACCGTTGCCATCCTGCCTGCCCTGGCTCTCTTCTCCTCTCCTCCCCCGCCCCGCTCCCTCCGCCTGCTGCGGAGACCCACACACCGCCCTTCCTCCCTCCTCTTGCTCCCCCATCTCATCCCCTTCCCCCCTGCCTGAGAGCATGAGTGAACATGCACGCTGCCAGATCCAACCACCCCAGCCGGTTTAGGGAGGTCTTGGGTGACCTGAGTGGGGGGCGTGGGGGTGTGTGGAAAGCCTCGTGAGCTGCAGAAGACAGCTCCAAGAGTTGCCTGCAGCTCGCGAGCCACAGTTTGGCCACCCCTGCTTTAAAATCCTGCTTTCTGCTCAATTCACGAACCATTATGAATCACTCTAAAAGTTTGTGCATGTTCATGATGGTGAACCTGTCATGAACTTCTGTTTCTGAGCCACAAACAAGGCAAAATGTGTCACAGATTTTTCTTCATGGTTCAGTTTGTGCCCATCCCTAGTATGGTTTTCATGTTGTCTAAATTGATGCTCTTTGCATAACAAAGGTGTTTGAAGGTCTCATTCATTTTTTGGATTGACTTCACTTATTATTGGCAGAGAACTGGAACTGGAAAAAAGGGAGATAGTGAGAAAGCCATAACAAATTTGCCCAAATGAGAGAAAGTATAGATGATTGTTGAAATCTTCTTGTTATTTATAGGACAGAGAGATGTGAGCCTTTTGAAATAGCAGGAAGTAGTAAGATTTGATAGATTTAATGTTTTCTCCAGGGCTTCCTACCAAAAAGTGTAATAGCACAAAAAAGGGGGGGGGGGAACTACTTACTGACAATGAAAAATCTATGAAAAGTTTATTTTGAAAAAACATGAACAATTATATAGAAGAATTTTTAAATGTATGAAAAGTCCATTTTGAAAACACATGCAGTTATATAAAAGAAATACATTCATCAAGAACAAGAAAATCCAGTGCCTTCTCACAAGAAAAGCTGAATGAGAAAACTACACAAGAAGAACTGAATTACTTCATCAAAAAGTCAGCCACAAATCAAAAAGCTGAAAGCCCAAGTAATAACATATATTATGGTTGCTGGCAGAATACTTCAAATTATTCTCTTCAGATAAATAAATGTATTTCTTCAAATATGAATCGTTTCTATCTTTCTTGCATAAAGCCACCAATAAAATGAAGAGCTGAAGACTAATAAAATGAAGAGCTGAAGAGATCAACTTTTTTATTTGTGGCTGACTTTCAGTGATGTCATTCAGTTCTTTTTGTATAATTTTCTCATTTATCTTTTCTTGAGAGTAGCCATTGGATTTTCTTGTTCCTGGTGTATATATTTCTTCTATTACCTGCACGTTTTTCAAAAACAGACTTCATACATTTTTTCATTGTTACTGCCTTTTGTGCTGTTGAACTTTTTTGTAGGTTTTCTGAGGGAATTGCCTTTGTCTTCTCCAGAGCTTGCCAACTCAAGTTGGATGTATAGTGCAATCTAGAAAAAAATATGCCGGGATTGTTTCCAGTGTTGCAGAAAATGCTGGGCAATGTGTAAGCTGAGAGTTGTGTCCTGCATTCTGTGTGACTCCTGAGAAAACTTCTTGGTCTTCACACTACTTTATTGCAGCACTTAAAACCAACAAAGTTTTAATCACGGTATGAGCTTTCATGTGCACGCACACTTCCTCAGGTGCACACAAAAGCTCATACTTTAAATAAAACTTTGTTGGTCTTAAAGATAACTTCAGGCCATGAATGTCTTTTAAAAATTACTTGATTTAATTGCTTGGTTTCAAATCCTGTTCCAGATCAAATACATTTTCTTAGATTGCCGGGAAATGTAATTCTAGTTAAGTTCTATATATCCAGTAATTCATTTCTGAATATGCTGTATGATGCTGTGGAGCAAGCCAGCTGCACTTTGTTTAGGTAAATAAGGCAGTTGTCCCCCCCCCCCCCCCCCTTTCTTCCCTCAACCCTTTTCAAGCGCTATGTGGATGGTGGAATAAGCGACAACTTACCTCACCATGACTCAAAGAATACCATCACAATTTCACCTTTCTCTGGGGAGTGTGACATTTGCCCTAAGGGCAACTCTGCAAACTTCCACGAAATGAATCTGACCAATACCAGCATTCAGTTTACGTCAGGAAACATGTATCGTTTGACTCAAGCACTTTTCCCTCCAGCACCCCAGGTACAGTATGCTCACCCTTACTTATCTCTCAGCTGAGCTATCTTTATTGGTATATATTAGTTACCATTCATGTATAATATTCTATCAGGGAGTGATCCACACACATCCAAAATAGTTCTATGCATATTTTGATTTAGCTGGTTTAGAAGACCTTACATCTTTGTTTACATGTGGTAGATTTACTGGGAGCAATTCCTATGAACGGGAAACAATAAAGAATGGGAAACAATAAACAATGTGCCTCTCTGGTTCAGGACATTGATACTGGATGATGGAGACAGTTTTGTTACACTTACTGTTCCAGGAAAGAATGAGCTCTATTTTAATAACTACAATTGCATTTTCACCCACTATAATTAAGCGCTTATTAATCCTTATAATAGTGTTGGAGTTTCTTATCTGTCCTTTACTGTTCTTGCTTTGCTCCTGAAGTATGACACATGATTTCTTAGGAAAATACAGCTGCAAATTTACACCAGCTGTAGAGTTGTATTAAAGTGGGCATTTGCTAAAGCTGTGTTTATACAATGACTTAAATATATATCTCAACTTGTCCCAATGTTAGGAGCAGGTAACCATACATATGCTGTTTCTTACTCTCTTGTTTCTCTTCTGTTTAGCCTACTGATATCCCCCCCCCCTTATCCCAGAAACTGAGGTAAAAAAACCCTCAACATGGGGCTTCCTGTGATCTGCCTATTTACCTGAGATACATTACAGTTGCAGAAGTAATTGAAATAGTGCCTGAAGTCTTGAGAGACTTTGTGCACCAATTTAATTGGCTGTCACAACCTGACCTGCTGCCAAGGGGGGTGGGGGGGAGATGGAAGGAGAACATGGGGAACAGAAGGAAGAAAGGGGAATGAGAAAAAGCATACTGCTAACACATTAATACTATATTGGCTTAATCCCTGGTGCCCCAAACAGGAGATAATGGCTGAATAATACACTTGCTATGGGAATTTTTGGCAAAAACAGCTTTCCAGTGGCAAGCCATACCCATTGGATACAAGATCTTGTTCCATAGAGAGATGATGATTACATTGACTCTCCATGCTCCAGTCATCTGTATAGGAGGATGACTGGTCTTTTCCTGTGGGCTTTCTTCAGAGTCTCATATCTCTAAGTTTAGATATTAAATTGATTTTTTTTCCTGATGGGCAATAAAAGTGGATAGGTCTCCATTTTTAGAACTTGCAGTTCTGTGTTATAAGTTTTTCTATAGTCTTTTAAATTTGGTTTCTGCTGGCCATGCAGTCATGTTTTGTAAACCATCCTGGGCTGAATAGGAATGGTGTGATGCAAATATTTAATTAAATCAATGGTGACCTAAAAGGTGATGGCACTGACCTCACACATATTGAGTATTTGTAGATGTTGCAGCCAGGTGGCAAGACACGTGATGTCAGCATCACCGTAACAGCTATAAAATGTGTTCCAAGTCTAGCAGTGCAATCCTAAGTAGAATCACATCTTTTTAAACATCCATTGAAGATGTGATAAGGGGTGTGCCAGGGTCTCTGACTGGGGATGAGGCACCCAATAGCATCTACCTCTGGAAGCCTCTCAAGCCTAGGGTTGCCAAGTCTGATTTTCGCCGCAGCGGGGGACTCCCGGCTGGCGGCTAGACCGCACGCGCGCCACATCCACATCACCCGGAAGTGACGCGGGCACGCCGGGGGCAGGGCCACGAGTTTTCCCTCGGATGACCGTGGCCCCGCCCCCAGCTTGCCCGGCGTGGTCGCATCACTTCTGGGTGACGTGCACGTCGGGGTGGGGTTCCCCCCGGGGCCCGATCTGCCAGCAGTGGGGAACGGGCCTCTGGGGCAGGGGTTTCCCTGCCCCCCGGGGGGACTTGGCAAGCCTACTCAAGCCTAGGGGTAGACAGAGGAAGGGGGTTTGACTCATCCTAGTCCTCCCCTCCTGGCAGCTGCGTAAGTTTGCCCCAGAGGACAGTCAGGCATTTCCCTCCTCCTTGTCTTGTTCCCCTGCTTCTCATGAGACCTTGACAGCTAAGGTCCATCCCTACAGAATCCCTGACCCAACAAGGTTTGCGGTTCTTGCAGAGACTGGGCAGAGATCAGGGCAGAGGCAGATCCTGCCCCCCTCAGACTCCGATTGCCATTCCTGGCTTGTGGGCCATGGCCATGCCCTCCTTCCCAGCATAAGGATCTCTGGTCTTCTCTGGCTGCACCTAGAGCCCAGGGAACAACCAGGTGTTGGGTCAGGAAGTGCGGATAAGTCATGCTGTTCTGGGTTGGCCCATCTATGACTATTATTCCTGACCAACTCCATCCCTGGGTTGGGTTATAAGGACTGGTGGCAAGACATGGAGGTTAGCCCACCTCAGGCCAGGAGCTAGTCCCTCAGTCTTTGGGTGCCAGGGAATCCTGGGCTGCAGTGCTTGTCTCCCCTCCATCTGGTCATGTGCCAAGGGTGAATTGCAGACTGCTGGATGGCTTCAAAGAGCCTGAGGTATCCGAAGCTGCTAGTGGGAGCTCTGGACTCAGATATTAAATTTAGGATTGCACTGAAAGTCTAATGATGCTTCTAAAACCACCTCCCTAGGAAAATTGCATAATTTACTGTGCATTGTTTTGGGGACTGACCATCAAGGGGACTAATATGTGTTGTTATAATCAGTAACATTTTTTTTGTTTCCCTTATTGCTCCCCTAAGAATCTAAGCTTACTAAGGGAAGCCGTTGTGAAGCCATTTAATATATTGCTTGTGCACAGTTATGAGAAGCAAGGCTATTTTGAGGCAGGAATGAATCGGACAAGCAGTAACTGCTGGCTCCTGAGTTGGCCACACCCAGCAGGAACTCATTAGCATAATAGGCCACACCTAACAGCAGACACTCATTAGGATTGGCTACATTAGGGGTGTGTGGCCTAACACGCAAAGAAGTTCCTGCTACAAAAAAAGCCCAGGGTTTTGACAACAAAGTAAACAGAATAAGAAGCAAAAGGTGGGTGTGGTTGGATGACCACACTTCTGGTAACATGTGGGGTGTGGCCTAATATGCTAATAGGTCTCTGCTGCTGGGTGTGGCCTATTATGCTAATGAGTTCCTGCTGGGCTTTTTCTACAAAAAAAGCCCTGATGAGAAGAATATTACCAGATAAATATTCTAGAAATAGTGATATACAGCATGTTTGTGAACATTGAAAGATACGTCCATGTATGTTCATAAGCAAAACTCTTAAACAATATGAAGAGCATTTTCACTCCCACCTAACAAGTTTAAATGGTATGAAACAATATTTTTTGTAATCTTATTTTCAGGTACTAGGAGAGATCTGTGAACAAGGATATTCAGACGCTCTTAGATTTTTGAAAGAAAATGGTAGGTCCTTATAATTTTGAATGTGTAATATGAATGACAAATAGGATGTTGAATAGGCTTGCCCATTTTTCTGCAGGCAGAAACTAATGCAGGCTTTGCCTGTGTTTGCAAATAACTCAGTTTGGAAATATGTAGAAATGTTTTTAGATGTCAGCTCCATCTCTCTCATGCAAGGAATATGCCTAGATGGCCTTCCCACTTGGTTCTTTTGTCTACCATAGCAGTAGCAGATTTGGGAACTTTCTTTCCAGAGCTTAGTAAAAAAATATTCCCCATTTCCTCCACCTTGTGTTTTTGTTTTGTTGGCTTTTCTTTCGTCTGTGCCACTATAATGCCACAGACCATCTTTGAAAAGTACTTCAACTATAGGTGCAAATTTCCTTCCACAGCTGACCGCAGTTGCCGAAGAGCTTTGCACTCTTCTCACCAGTACCGTTTAGCAATGCTCCCTCTAAGCTGTGGAGTCTTGTGAGCAAAAATTCTACTTTGTGAGCTACTGGCATTACAGTTGTGAGCACGTGATTTGGCTACTGCATAAATTAGTTTGTTCTGGAACCATCCTTCCTGAGCTAAGACAAAAATGTGTGAGGTGGAGGCTAAAAAACTGTGACCTAGCTCACACTAACTCAGCTTAGAGGGAACACTGCCATTTAGTGGTCCCTGGCCCAAAAAACATCCACTTTGAAATACAGTGTTTAATGTCAGTGTTTATTTATTTAAAACATTTAGTAGCTGCCTTTGTACCTTACAGAACTCAAGCTGGCTTACAATATAAATAAAATAACATTAATTAAAAAAACAGAATTAAAAACCACAATTTAAGACTGCCACCAAATTAATCAAATGCAGTCCTAAATAAAACAGTCCATCTACCTTCTAAAGATTGAAAGTGAGGGGGCAAGGTGCACCTCCCTGGGAAGGTTGTTCCATAATTGTCAGGCTGTCACCAAAAGGCCCTCTCTCACATATCCACCAAACAAGCTTCTTTGATTGAAGGGACAATTGAGAGGGCCACTCCCTGTTTCCTACTTCTTTTCAACCCTGTCCCTGCATACACTTTCATCATTCTCTACCAGTCTGGGAGTGTATCACCAGAGATATCTGGGTACTGAGTATAATCAGTCTGGGATATGCAATAGAATTTCCTTTGCTAACCTCCTTGGGTGTTTTCAGATGCTGTCTTCACAAGCCTTTAATTTGAAAGTGGCTCCACTCATTCTTTACGATTCAGTTATTTGGATTAAAGCTATCTCTGACAATATCGATCAACCACTAGCCCAGTTCTTTTATTATTTTCAAAAACCATAATATGAACACGATATCAAAAACAATTACAGCAAAGATAACAGTCATCTATAAAACCTTAACAATATTTGCCTTCAGAATGAGATTAAAACAGCTCTGGATGAGAAACTGATGAAAATTGGAATATCAATTGAGTATATTTTTGAGATGGGCAAAACCAAAGCCCTTTCATCTAAAAAATAAGAAATAAGTGTTTTCTGCTGCTCAAGATTTGTGAATCAATCATCTCCTTACAAAATGAAAAGGAAAGATGCTGTAATCAAACCCAGCAATGTTATCAGAAGTGGTATCACTCCTGCAGAAAGATGTCATAGAAATTTTCCAGCCGTCCCAGGAATGACAGATTTTAATCCTGCTGTTTTTCTGTCCTGAAAAAAGACTGTGGTCTATACCATATTTCAGAGCTCAGGAAAACCAATATCTCCATCAGCCTCAAGAAATGCAAAGGAGACCATCCTTCCCCTTTGTTTGCTTTCATTGATCTAAAAAGGATGCATGCTTCCACAACTCAATTCAGCCATAATGTTGCAAATTTCTCCATTTTGTCCTACTAATACAAAGTCCTTTTATTTAAATCCTCCACTGTCTCAGAGTTTTCACAAGTATACAGTGGTAGCAGCAGCCCATCTGTGATGATTGGTTGTATTGGTCTTCCACTACATTGACAACTGACTCTTAATGTGCACTCCCACAACTCACTTCTTTGGCACGTCATCTCCTGAGTCTGCAAGTCAGTAGACTCAGATTTCACCTGTACCCCAAGAGATATACTTGGTGACTCTTTCTGCACCAAGGCATCCTTATATATTTATTTATGTATTTATAATTTCGATTTATGAACCACCTTCTCTGAGTTCACAGAATTCAGGGCGGTTAACAACAAAATCTATGCAATTTAAAATCCAAGGAATTAAAATAACTAAAAACATTTTCAGATGGTGCTAAAATAAATTTACAGATTGCATTACTGTCTTGCAAATAGATAGAGAAAGAGCAGGATGGGGAGTACCAGATAGGATGGTACCCGTTGCTGTCTTCAACCAAAAGCCCAGAGGAACACCTCTGCCTTACAGTCCTGCGGAACTGTACCAGGTCCTGCAGGGTGTGGATGTTATTTGGCAGAAAGTTCCACCAGGTGGGAGGTTGAGGACAACTGGACATCTTTTGGACTAGCGATCACCAGTAGGTGGTTCTCAGTGCAAGGCTTTTCAGGAGCATACCAGAGGAAGCAGTCCCGAAGATACACGGGTCCCAGACTGTTCAAGGCCTTAAAGGTCAGTACCAAAACCTTGAACCTGACCCAGTACTCCACTGGAAGTCAGTGCAGCTGACCGAGCTCAGGTTGAATATGTGCTGTCTGTGGTGTTCCCATCAGGACTCATGCCACTGCATTCTGGACCTTCTGGAGTTTCCAGAGCAGTGTAAAGCGAGTTACAGTAATCCAATCTGGAAGTGACAATTGCATGGATTACTGTGGCCAGGACAGGAAGGGGCCAGTTGCCTCGCCTGGTGCATTTGTGATCTGGGCCTCCATTGATAAGGAGGTGTCCAAGACGAAGGCCCAAACTCTTGATGGCTTGAGTTGGTATTAAAGAGTGGGAAGAGTGGGAATTTGGCACCCCGTCAAGAGTGGAAAGTTGGCACCCTGATCCTGAATCTTCTCTATCCAGCCACAGAACCCCCGTCTTGGTTGGATTCAGTTTCAGTCGACTCTTCCTCAACCATCCCACTATGCCCCCCAGCCCCTCAGCCAGATTTTGTGGGGCAGCATCCAGGCAGTTGCCCATCAACAGATATATCTGGGTGTCATCAGCATACTGGTGACACCCCAGTATGAAGCTCCATACCAACTGGGTAAGGGGGCACATAAAGAGTTTAAACAACATCGGAGAGAGGATTGCCCCCTGAGGGACCCCACATGTTAAGGGGTTCCTAATTTACACCCTCCCCCCTAGCACTACCCTCTGTCCCTGACCTTGGAGAAATGAGGGAAGCCACTGCAAGACTACCCCACGAACTCCTATATTGGAAAGGTGGTGGTTCAAAAGATTATGGTTGACCATATTGAATGCTGCTGTAAGAGCCAACAACAACAGCAGTGCTGACCCACCACAATGCAGTTGCCTGCGGAGATTGTCCATGAGGGTGACCAATGCCGTCTTCATCCTATGGCCAAGGCGGAAACTGGACTGGAATGGGCCAAGTGCTGATGTGTCGTCCAGGAAACTTTGGAGCTGCTCAGCTACCACTCTCTCAATTACCTTATCCAGAAACAACAAATTCAAAACGAATGTATTTATTTATTATTTGCATCTATATTCCACCCATCCTACGTGCGGGCTCAGGGCGGGTAACATCATTGAAATACAATTTCAGTTTGAAACATTAAACATTAAGGCACAATAAAACATAACAATAAAAACAATGGGTACAGCTTAGAAGACTGACTATAAAACTAAGGGATCCAGAGATGGCTTTTTCTAGAGCGGTATTACCATAACCCCTTTAGACCCTCTGGGTAGACCCCCGAATCCAGGGACAGATTGATAATGTCTACTTATACATACAGCCTGCACTCTCATTCCATAGATACAGCCTGCACTCTCATTCCTTTACCACCACCTTTAAGTGCAATCTTTACTGGATCTCATGGGAGCGACCACATTTGTAGTCCCATTTAGTGGGTTCACAGTGAGAACCCTACAACAGTGGTTCCTATCCAGTGTATTCCAGCTGGCCTTTGAAGCCTGGTTTAGTATGCACATTCCCACAACCTGCTTCAGGGAGCTGAGTTCATCCCACTGACACCACACAGTTAAGCCTCATCACAGATGCCTGCAGGTGGGGGTGCTGTGCCCACTGGCAAGCATGCCATCAGCCAACTGTGGTTTGACAAGAGTCTAAAGTCCACATAAGTGTATCACAATTCTCCAGTTCTTATTTTCCTCCCTCTCCATTCCCAGTATAAACAATGTGGGATAAATTACATTCATTATTCATTTATCTGGGGGATTTTTGTGCTGCCTCTCCTGGGGAACCTGCTCCAGGTGGCTTACAAAAATAACAATAAAACATCACATTAAAAGTTACAAATTAAAACCTAGCATAAAGAACTCCAGCCAGAAAATTAAAAAAACCCAAATAATTGACGAGCTACAAATGAATTTAATAATTTTCAGACTAAAAGTACACTATAAAATGATTTTAAAAGATCAACCCAATAAATTGGGTCTCATTGTGTTTTAGTGGATTATATTGTTTTTATTAGTAATTCATATGCATATATTTGTATTATTGTACACCACCCTGAGCCTTGCTTCGCAGGGAAGGGCAGTTTAAAAATTGAACCAAATGAATGAATAGCACCTAAAAGAGATGAATTTAGGTGCCAAGTGTGCCTCAAAGGGAAGGCTGAAACTGTATTAAAATGCAATTGTTTGGAAGTATACTACTAAGGAAATTGGTTGTGACATACTTAGCTCAAAGACAGTTCCACAGAATTAAGGTCAAAGACTGCCTTTTGATTGTGTGATCCAGTGCTCTGCTATGCAGAAATTTTGGCTTAGGCATCCCAACTCTTGTGACAAGGCCCAGCCCTATTACTGGCACTGGAGACACTGCCATGCTAGCCACTGGTTACGAAGCTTAATAAATAAGTGCTGCAGAAGGTCACTCATGGGGTTATTTAGGATGGGGCAGAGAGAATGTAGGTTTCCTTATGGACCCGTTGTATGGTGTTCTGTGATTCAACTGGAACTGTGGAGGCTATCTAATAATAAACATAAAAATAATAGTAAACATAACAAACATTTAAAAAATTGCTACTTCTGGATTTGCTCAGCACAGGATACTGATTACAGGGACACATACTAGTTTCCCATTTCTCCATCTTAGAAATATGAAATTCTTAAGCCAGCACTTAGATTTCAGCTAGAGAGTCTGACATGAATCTCCCTTATATATAAAAGCCGAATGTCATTTCGGGGGGGGATCGCAGGGGATCGCAGTTCCCCCGGGTGAGGTGTGGGGGGGCGGGGCACATGACAAAACCCCGCCTCCTGCTTCCGGCTGCCCCGCTTCCGGCCCTCATTCAACCAGAAGGAGGCAGGAGAAGAGTCAGGGTAAGTTGCTTCCTCCCTGCCTCTCCCCACCCCTGCCTGCCTGGGGCCAGGGAGGGCCTTTGTGGGGCTTCCTTGCACTCCCACCGGCCTTGCAGGTTCACCGCCGGGCCCCTCATGGGGCTCAGCAGTGGAGCTGCAAGGCCAGCGGTGGCGGCCGGGACCATTGGGGGCAGGGTATGTGGCCTTATAACACACTTCCGGTGATGTCAGGGGGTGTGGCCTTATGACACACTTCCGGTGATATCAGGGGGTGTGGCATATGCTAATGAGTTATGCTAATGAATCCCCCTAGCTCTTTTTCTACGAAACGACCCCTGGTGGCACTTCTCTAGAACATTCCACATGCTCCGGAATTGGTTGGCGCCCTGGTGTGTCACTCAGAATCTGTCCCTATCCACTGGCTGCATTGCTTGAGTCTCACCTCCAATATTCTAAACAGTTTGCTGTTCCTCTCCCCCCCATAGCCAGTCTGAACACAGAGGTTATTTGCATATGCAGCCTCATTGGCCTTTGCCTCGGAACACAGAGGTCGTTTGCATATGCGACTTGATTGGCTTTTGCCTCTAACATTCTAAACAGTTTGCTGTTCTGAGGTAAAATGTGTCCAATCTCCAGGTGAGGGCTGGAGATCACTCAGAATTACAACTGCTTTCCAGATGGCAGAGATCAGTTCCCCTGGAGAAAATGGTGGCCTCTGTATCCTTATATGCTGCTGAGGCGGCCCCCGTATGACAGCCAATGTGACGTAGCAGTCAGGGCTTCAGAGCACAGGAGAGGCTGCAGGTGTGTGGGGGGTGGAAAGCTGAAGAGTGAGGGGGAAATAAAGGTAGGTTGATGATTGGCTGGGAAGGAGATAGGGTTGCCAACTCCAGATGGCAAATTCCTGGAGATGTGAGGGATGGAGCCTGGAGAGGGTAAGGTTTCAGGAGGCGTGGGACCTCGGACAGGTACAAAGCCATAGACTCCACCCTCCAAACCAACTATTCCCTTCTGGGGAACCATCGTTGCCAATCTCCAGGTGAGGGCTGGAGATCACTCAAAATTACAACTGTTCTTTAGGTAGCAGAGATCAGTTCCTCTGGAGAAAATGGTGGACTCTGTGTCATTATACCCTGCTGAGGTCGCCACAGCAAATTGACACTGAGTGTCCAAGGTCGGGGCATCCGCCCAGAGCCTCTTTCTAGAGACCGTTGTATTTATTTCCACAACGGGCCTTTTTCCTAGTATTAAGTAATGTGGGGCTTAGAGCAGGAGTCACTGGGGAATTGGGGGGCAGTAGCTGCAAATTTCCTGCATTGTGCATGGGGCTGGAACAGATGACCACTGGGTTCCCTTCCACCTCTATGTTTCTAAACCTTTATTTTCTTTAACTCCTGCATGTTTCATCTGTGGTGCCCATTGTACTTTGGAATTTAAGATATCACATCAGAAATTATTTGTATGTTTTCCTCAGGTATACTGCATGACTCAATTTCTGTCATCTTACCTTTAAAAAGGGGAGATCATGCACAAATCCCAGGTTATACTAATAAGAAAACAGTTGCAGAAAATCAAGGCAAAGAAAATCTGTTAAAGGAAGAAATTCTCATCGACCAACTGAAGTTAGCCTCATGGCCATTGGACAAAGCTATTTTTGACAATCTACCTCCTAGACTTCGCAAAGGTATGAATATAAAGTCAGTTTCAACGTTAATGACAAAACAAAGTTTCAGTAAAAATGATTGTAGTAATAACTAATAGCTTAACAAAAGGTTGATGCCAATAGCTATACAATCTGGCCACAATTTTGCAATTTTAACTTTCAATTGATTTCAGTAGGAGAATTAAGCATATGCCAGTTATTTCCTATTAAAAATAATGGGACTGAAAAGTGTTTGACTTTGGATAATACACATTTTTGTTGCTTTTGTACTGTATGTTGGTTAGAAAAACAACATTATTTATGCAGCATTACTAATGAAGAACTTACCAGTTCTCATACAATATGAAAGAACAAAATATGTACTATTTGCTAATCAGTTTCATGTTGCTAATTTTCAGTAATTATTTTAATTTAATAAGTAAAAGAACTGACAAATGGGCAGTGTTTTATAGATTGATTTATAGGAGAAATAACAAGTTATGAAAGTTCAGCATGGTAGCTTTCAATATTGTTCAAATGGTTTCAGTAAAACGACCTAAGAATTTGCATATAGTATTCAGAACACTAATGTTTAAAAAGAATGATGCAAAGGCCTAAGTGGCTGGTTGTCATAGGTAAGCTGTAACTGAACAAAGGAAAGAAAAAGAGATGAAAGAAGCTCCTACATCCCAATTCTGTATCATTGCTTGTCCTAAGTCCTAAGCAGCTGTACTCAGAAGTCTCATGATATTCAGTGGGGCTGATTCCTAGGGAAGTGTCCTTAGTTTTCTATTATCTGTTGGCAAAAGGAATGGATTATAACCAGTATTCCTAAAACTATAAGGGAGGTATATTTCTGTTGAGTTATAAAATGCAGGAAATGTTACTGAGGATCAAATACATCTTGGTTTGTTTTGAGTGGACTGCTGAATAAGCCAGTTTCCCCCTGTCCCTTTGATACTTGAAGCATATTCCTTTTTCTGAAAGAAAATTGGGAGCATGCGACTATAAAAAAGTAAAGTTTACCTGCCCACAGAGGAGTCTATTTCTGATTTTATGTGCAAGTCACAGTCCTTACTAGAAGGAGACAAACCAAGAGCAGCAGTTTCTCGAATGATGCAGTGGGGAGGATGCATCTGCTATAGGTGAATGAATGATCTAATCATACCACATTCAGAGACTCTGCTGAATTGCCTCCCTGCAGTAGAAGCTGAGTGGGAATTGCTGAACTAAAATCTTGTATGAATGAAGTGTTGATATGATTTAAGCCTGCATAGCAGTCTGTTTTTATTTATTTATTACAGCCAGCGAACATATTCAAACATAGTACAATATAAAATATAATAGCTTAAAAGAAAAAATAATGTCATTAGGACATATATTTCAAAGATAAAATGTACCGATCGTCACCTTTTTTAAAGAAATAGATGTTATTCTAAAAATATAAAATCAGAAAAGGAGAAGTCCTACTGAACATGTCTATTGTTTGCTGCACACTTTGATCGCTTGGGTACAAAACTTAGCTGTTACCTTAGTAATGGCTGGAATTTCATCTGTCAGTAGTTTCTCCAGACATGCCTTATCCGTCAGCAGTGCTAGTCCATCCAAAAAAAGGATTGTCTTATTTCAGATTTCTTTATCTCGACGTTTCCACTTCACCTAGGGAGCATGGACAGAATCTTTTCAGTATATGAGATCTTCTTATATCTTCCTTCTAATACCATTGACAGCATAACATCGCATCTAGCCAGGGTAAAAGCCCTCTTGTGGGAAGGAAAATCCAAAGCTTCAAGATCTTGGGCTGTTGTCATAGAATATCTAAATTTCTCAGGGGCCATGAAGTTAGGAGTTCTCATTAGGTCTTGCTGTCACTCCATGTCACATACTCTTTGTTTGATTATAGATTTCACATGATCAGTATTTTGTGACAATAGAGCAGCAGGTAAAAGGTCCATTCTTTCTAACCTATCCTCAACGAAATGTAACCATCTTGGCTGTTGGAGAGCTTGTGTTACTAAAGGAAGAAGGCCTTTTGGATTTCTGTGTATCCTAAGATACTGAAAGGCAGAGGTGAACAGGATTCTTGCCTCGATTCTCATTTGTCCTGTTTCTGGTCGGAGGATGGAGTTAGGTTCACCAGGAGGGACCTGAAGAATGGCATGAAGAAATTTAGATTGTATTTTTTCAAAAGATTACAGTGTGCTGCATTAGATCCGCTCTCCTGAAATATGACCCCAAGGTAGAAAGTATGAACTTTTTTTAAAAAAATAATTTTTATTGGTTTTCTAGTACAAACTACAAAACTAGAAACTACAAAACTATACACTACAAAAGAGAGTAGCAAGGTACTTTGATAAGCTATTCATACGCTTTGGATATTTATCTACATGTTTATGATTACATTCAGTTATTTAAGTTCTAATAAAAGTGTTCAAGGGGAAAGAACTTCAAAGCTTTTTGGTTATTATATCCCATCTGGATAATAATATAAAATCATTAAATGAGAACATAGGTTTCTTCTTATCTTTTCTTTTCTTCTTCTTTTGCCAGAGAAGGTTCACTTTGAAAGTTTTGGGAGCCACTTCTCCCAAATCAGAGTCAGAGTTGAAGATTTCACCCAAAGACATGGAAGTGGCTGTAGAGGATGAACTATCCGTATCAGATTTTTGTTGATTGCTGCTTTTTTTCGTTGCCTTCTCTTTCTCTGCTCCGTTCCTTTGGTTAGATGGGGTTTGTTGTTGCTTAAGAAATAGTTCTGCTTTTAGTAAAGAGTCAGTCTTTTCTTTCTTCTCATTAAAATTGAATATAAGTCCTTTTGGAAGAATCCATCTGTACTGGACATTGTTCTTTTGAAGAAATGTTGTAATATTTCTGTATTGTTTCCTTTTTTTCATATTTCATATGGAACATCTTTCAATATTTTTATCTCCCCTTTTTGGATTTTGGCTGTCGTAGCTGTGGATGCTTTAAGTATTAAGTCTCTTGTTGATCTTTTTGCAAATTTCACAAAAATTTCCCCTGGGAGATTTTTCCCCCCCAAACTCCGCTTGTATTGTTTCAGGTTTGCTATTGATCAAGGGGGCCATTGCTTCACATGATTTCTCTTAGATTCTCATCCTTTTTCTCTGGAACCCCTTGAAATCTCAGAACATAGAAGGATCTTTCTACTTGTAGTTGTAATAATTGTTGTTTTTCAGAAGCTCTTTCTTTCTCTGCAATGTCCATTTTTTGGTCTATTTCTTTGGTCTCGATTTCAACCTTTTTTAGCTTTTTGGCTGATTTCTCTGTTTTGGCTGTAGTTTCCTTAAGCTCCTGTAGTTTATCAAATTTCTGATTAAGAGTCGTCATCTGATCCAGCAGAGGGCACAAGGCTTCAGAAATTGTGGTAGCTATCTCACTGGTATTTTCCAGTCTTGTGACTGGTGATGTTGTGCTGGCATTTCCTGCAGAGCCTCTGCTTCTGGGCGCCATTTTCCCCCCTCGCTGAGACATTGTTTATATTTTGGTAAGAGTTCATTAAAGTTCCACGATTTTTGTATGGCGTAGATAAATAAACCTGATGTGTTCCGCTTAAGTAGGGTGGGTTTTTAGTAGCTTAAACCTGGCATGTTTCGCTGCAATTTTGCTGTGGGGTAGGGTTCTTCCTCCACGAGTCCCCTCCCCCTTTCTCTATGAAGCTGTGCCATTTAGTTATATCAGTATTTGCTCCACCACCCTCTTTGCATATCTTTCTTTTTGAAACTAACTCACTGTTTCTTTAATCGCTGGATCACTTCACCACATAGATAAAGTCTTATTGTTTAAGTCCTTGTACACTCTGTTCCGGTAACGTCTCTAAGCGCCATTGCTGGCCTCGGGACAGCAGCACCTTTTGGAGCAAAAAGGAGCTCAATTCTCCATGCCGAAACTTTGGGAATGGCCCTTTCAGTGCTCCAGGGTAGAAGCTCCCTCCAAAAGCTTCATGGGGAGGTTGGAGCCAGCCAATCCCCCTCCCTGCTGCCCCGAACCGAATCACCCCCATTGGAGCTCGATGGGGTGCGTTTGTCACGAGTCGCCGCCAACTGGAAATCAGAAAGTATGAACTTGAACAAAAGCATACCATGGTTTCTCACTTCATAATTCTAGAAAATGCTTGACCATACTTGTGGAATGCTAGAAGCTGTTACGTTTATGTTCAGTTGGAATTAATGACTATGTAAATAACAGCATTACAGGAGGCTTGTAAAGAGAAACATGGACTTTATGCTCAGCTTTCTAAATTTCTACCAATGAGACTGATGTCCTATATGATGTTGCCGTATACCCTGCCAGTTGAATCAGCATATTTTGTGGCCTTAAGGTAAGTTTTAGGAGTTTGGAACTGTCTTTAATACAGTTTATTTCCTAATGTATATGAAGGGCTTTAAGTTTGGCTGAACATAATACTTCCAACCTGCCTTTTTTCTTTTAAAGAAAGTGTCTCAAAGTAATCCTTACAACAATGTCTTCTTAAATATTTCTTCATTTGACTTTTGTCCAGGGAATTTGCATTGTTATTCTGGACTTTTAAAATAAAATAGATAAATACGTTTTCCTTGTATTCTCAACATTTGCTATACCAAAGAGCCCATAATGAACACTGTAGCTAGGTGTAGATAATGCTGAAGGAAGTGGATAAAAAAATAAGCAAATACCATTAAATAGATTTAATAGGATGGCTTTTCTTCCCTTTCTCTGCCCTACTTAACTGCAATTTTTCAAAATCTGGACTCTATGTAAAGCACTCATCTCTTTTATCACTGCAGATTAGTAGACTGGTTTCCTGATATCCTCACTGATGTGCAATGGATGCAGGGACAGCTTCGTCAGTTTGTGGGTGCTGTATATTCCAAAGCAAGAAAAAGACTACTAAGTTTTCCAAGGTACATTTTGTGCTGTTACATGCATCCTGATGGAGTTTTTAAAAAGTTGCTGCTGTTGTGATTGTAGACCCTGAAACCACAGCAACTGTTTATTCTCACATGAAAGGGTGCAATAAAATGGGCCAGCCATGGTGAGTCAGGAAACAGGAATTGAGTTCTGCTGGAGATAGCCCATTTTGATTAAACACCAAATGAAGGAGATTAACTCCGGTCATAAAACCCCGGGAAGGAGGAGGACTATGTGCTGGGTGACCTTATTGGGAAAGCTTGGGATATCTCCTACAAGGGGAAGGATTCCTAACTCTACATTGGGGGGAGGGTTACCAAAGCAGGCAGAAATGTTTAAAGGGTGGAATCTTCCTTTGTTCTTGCTTCAAATACTTTGCCCAGATGTTGTGACCTGCTTGAACCCAAACTTCTCTGCAAAAGAACAGTGGGGAGGTTTTTTTTTTGGGGGGGGTGTTTGCTCCATCTAAGATCTGTCTTAGCTTAGACCCATGTTTATGTCCTTTTCCTTAGATCTGTATTAGCTGTGCATGACATCTATTTTCCATGTATGTGCTCCAGCTTAATCTTTAGTAACAACGTTCCTTTCCTGTTTAAAAAAGCAGACTGGGATTCAGATCCTGCTCACACAATGAGAGCACCCTTACATGCTAAGAACATGCATGCATGGGAGGAGCTAAAGTAATTGGAAAGCTCTGCCCTTTGTAGTTGCTCAGAGGCAGCCTTGCCAAGGTTCTCCAAAGCACTGGTTATGTGATAAGTGGGCTTTTATATCTTAGGGTGGTGGCATAAAGAGGAACATGGTTTTACATGCAGGCAAACGTGCAACAAGAATGAGAGAACACAGAGAGACCCAGAACAGCATTGTGACAGCTTCCTGATGCAATCTTGCTGACTATGTGCAGATATAATATTCTTGAGTGGCAGTTAGAAGACCGGGAATATGCTGTGGGTTCATGCACCAAACTGGAGCCTCCCAACTGATCTCCAGGTGACCAAGCTCAGTTTCCCTGGAGAAAATGGCTGCTTTAGAGGGTGGCCTCTATGGCATTATATCCTGCTGAGGCCCCTCCCCAAACCTCACCCTCTCCAGGCTCCACCCCCCAAATCTCCAGGCACTTCACAACCCAGAGCTGGCAACCATACATATACCCATGTTCATATATGACTAAAATCAAAAGTTGCTGAAGAATTTCTTTTTTCTTTTTACAGTAATGAAAGCCATATTCTGATTAGAAAATGCCAGACTGCACCCCTGAATATGGGTCTTTCCTCTCCCTGCCGCCATTCTAAAATGCCTCATTCTTCTGCATACCTCAAAGAATGGTTTTTTGACCTTCCCTACTGCGACGCGTCTGCTATGAAGGAAGCTGAAGCTGATGCAAATGAAAGCTTTTTGTCCATTCCCCCTTTTTTCATGAACTCTGAAGAATCAGGTTTGGAACTGGATTTTGATTCCTCCTCTGAGCAAAGTTTCCAGACTGCCTCGGAAGACTAACTTGAGAACTGCTGCATCAGGCAGAGAAATCTAAGTCTTGGAGGGCATGATTGATGTAGCATCTGTCAACCCATCTTTTGGAAGATACTGTTTACAATGGATGACAAATTGCCTCAGGAAATCTCTTTAAGCAAGATAATTATAGAAAAGTGACAAATGGCTTCCTGATGGATTAAAAAACAGAGCTGAAAGGAGGGCCCCAGTGCAATATAACAATGTTTACCAGACAAGATCCCCACTAGGAAGTGTGATCAAATAATGGCTTGAGTTTTTATATTGGGGCAAACATACGTAGCAAAACAGAGCTTTTAAAATTATGTAACTTTTAAACAACAGTCATTTTCTATATGCCTTTATAAATAGTGCTTAGCATTTGAGTAAAACAAACATCTGTACTTAACAAAGAAATACGGCATATAAACCTTTAATGTTTGTATTTGTCTTAAACGTAAATGTATTATCTACATGGGAAGTGTTAGTGTCTTGGTCACACATGCTGTTTGATTTGATTTATAGCCCTCCCTCCCCTGCAAGCACTCTCAGGGCGGTTAACAACAATAACAGTAAATATACATTCACATTAAGAACAGTGTCTAAAAAACAAATAAATTGTTCTGGTTAAAAAAAAAAGAACAGTGTCTAATATCAATATCCAATGTCACCCAAAACGTTAGAAAAGATTAATACGGATTAATGCACCAAGTGCAACGATGGATGTTAAAAATAATACAGAGGAGCAGAACAAGTGGACAAGAAACAGAGAGTGTGAGGGGAGGCCAGTCCAGATGGTTACTAAAGCCTCAACCACAAGACGGGTGGAACAGCTCTGTTCTACAGACCCCATGGAGCTGCATTAAGTCCTGCAGGGCCTGGATCTCACCTGGGAGAGCGTTCCACCAGGTCGCTGCCAGAGCCAAAAGGGCTCTGGCTCTGGTTGAGGCTAAGCAACTATCTTTCGGGCTGGGGATCATGAGAAGATTTTGATCTGCTGAGCATAAAGCTCTGTGGAGGACGTAACAGGAGAGGCAGTACCTTAGGTATTGTGAAGCTTCTTTTTTCCCCAGAGGCTAATCTAGAAATAATGGTTTCAGCATTAGAAATACGAAAACTGTTAATATTTCAGCACTTATGTGCTGTTGCATAACAAGTTATCCTTAAAGACTCAAAGTTATACTTAAAATATTTTAGAAGAAAGCATAAGTTGAGGACTTTTCCTGGGAAGATGGTATAGGTGTAGCAAAGCTACTTTTCAGGCAGGAATGTGATTGCAGATGTCATCTAGACATGTCTAGTATAATTCCTTCATATGGCATAAATAGTAGAGTTTCCTTGTGCTTTAGAGTTTGCAGAACTGGAAAAGAAGCTAATGGGTGAAAGGGGATATCAGTAGTGGCATCCTATTCATTTCTTGTAACTATTGAACAGTACATGAGAACCTGAAGAGCAAAAAAATCTGAAAAACTAAACTATTTGTAGTTCCAAGGTAATTTACAATAATAATTCTGTACCAAATAGCACTGAATAAAAACCATTTTCAGCTGAATCTTTACTGAGAAAAATGTGCCAAAGTGATTTACTCTAGGTTAAGGCCTTCAAGTTGCCAATGACAAGAGGACATCAGTGTATATAATAAATAAAGCTACTTCTGAAGTGGCTTGAATATTTAAGCAATATGCTTTGGGATGGCAATACAGCATCTCAGAGCTGCTTGATACCTTATGTATAAGTGCACCTGACTTCTCAATATTACTACTTAAAAGTGATCAGGATACTCCATTGTAGCAGATTCAGTTCTTGTTTTTAGAAAGGCTTACAGAAGAGTTCTCATCATGTTATGTCACACAAGTCCTTTTGGCAGGTAAGCACTCCTTACTCTCCCCAACCCTGAGCACTGTAGTTAATATGACTGTTCTGGCAGGACGATAAGCAGACAGTCCGTTGTGATTAAATAAAAACCCGTTTTGTGTTTCAGAGCAATAATCAAACTGCCTTGAAATGTTGACAAAAGTTTTCCCAGATATTGTTTAATTGACATTTATGATCTCATTGGTGCACTCAAAATGTATCTTTAGTCATTGTTTAATGTAGTGTCTTCTGATGCACTCGTCTTAAAAATCTTGGTTTTATTTCTAAAATGACTTGCTAAATTTTTTGCTATAATCACTTTTAGGAGAAGTAAAATAATGACAGAATATTTTTGTGTTCATAATATCAAAATGAAACTTGAATACCAAACCGTTCAATGTTCTCTAGAAATAAATGGTTATCATTAAAATGTTTTAATATTCATTATTTATTTATTCATTCAATTTTTATCCTGCTCCTTTCCCCACCAAACAGGGCTCAGGGCAGCTTCCAACAAATATCTTCACTGCTGGGTTTGTATCTTTAAGCTGTCACTCTGCAATAATTAAAGTCTGTGCTTTGGCTGGCAGATGAATGATGACATGGATTTATTTAAGACTTTTTAAAAGCTTAATTATTGTTGCCTTCAGGTCTGTAACATCTTTGATCTTCATTGTGGTCTTTCAAATCGAATCAAACCTTTAATGGCATACAGAATAAATTAGGACAGATTACAGTACTATCAGAATAAGAGTAACAAAAAGACTTATACAGTTAAAATGTAAATATAAACATTGAATCATCACTATGTCTTATATTGACAGATCTTGATGGCACATTGAAGAAATTTATTTATTTATTTATCTTTGGATTTATATCCCGCCCTATCCCGAATGAAACAACCACCTCAGTTACGCCAGTAAAAGACATCATTCAAAATATATTGGACCTTAGTATGATCAGACAATCCCGTCTTATTTTCAAAAATAGGGTCAAGGTACTTAAAACAAATGTTTGCATAGAAAGGGCAATAAAAGACGATATGCGAGATTGTTTCATTTTAACTTACACAGGCAAAGTCTGCCATATAGAATTGCTGGTGGCATGATGTTAAATTTGGCCAGAGAGAAGGCTCTACGCTGTTGGGGATTTTGCAGAGATTAAGGTAAGGAGCCATGTGTCCTGCATTGAATGTAATCCGTAACCTCAAAGAAGAGAAAGTTTTATTAGCAGCACTGTAAAGATTTTGTAGTTCAATAGCCAAAACTCTATGTGGGTATAGCATAAGAACATAAGAGATGCCAATGTTGGATCAGGCCAAAGGCCCATCCAGTCCAACACTCTGTATCACACAGTGGCCAGAAATACCAGTGCCATCAGGAGGTCCACCAGTGGGGCCAGGACACCAGAAGCCATCCCACTGTTGACCCCCCCCCAAGCACCAAGATGACAGAGCATCACTTGCCCCAGAGTCCCTATCTATACCTTGTGGCTAATAGCCACTGATGGACCTCTGCTCCATATGCTTATCCAATTCCCTTTTGAAGCTGTCCATGCTTGTAGCCGCCACCACTTCCTGTGGCAGTGAATTCCAAGTGTTAATCACTCTTTGGGTGAAGAAGTACTTCCTTTTATCCGTTCTAACCCGACCGCTCAGCAATTTCATGGAGTGCCCACGAGTTCTTGTATTGTGAGAAAGGGAGAAAAGTACCTCTTTCTCTACCTGCTCTTTCCCATGCATAATCTTATAAACCTCAATCATGTCACCCCTCAGTCGTCGTTTCTCCAAGCTAAAGAGCCCTAAGCGCCTTAACCTTTCCTCATAGGGAAAGTGTTCCAACCCTTTTATCATTCTAGTTGCCCTTTTCTGCACTTTTTCCAAAGCTATAATATCCTTTTTAAGGTGTGGTGACCAGAATTGCACACAGTATTCCAGATGAGGTTGCACCATTGATTTATATAGGGGCATTATGATATTGGCTGATCTGTTTACAATACCCTTCCTAATAATCCCCAGCATAGCATTGGCCTTCTTTATTGCAGTCACACAGTGTCTCGACATTTTCAGTGAGTTATCTACTACAACTCCAAGATCTCTCTCTTGATCAGTCTCCATCAACGTTCAGACCCCATCAATGTATATTTATATTTAGGATTTTTGGCTCCAATGTGCATCACCTTGCACTTGGTCACATTGAACCCCATTTGCCATGTTGATGCCCATTCGCCCATCTTTGACAGATCCCTTTGGAGTGCCTCACAATCCTCACTGGTTTTCACCACCCTGAACAACTTCGTATCATCCGCAAATTTAGCCACTTCACTGCTTACTCCCAACTCCAAATCATTAATGAGCAAGTTAAAAAGCAGTGGACCAAGTACTGATCCCTGTGGTACCCCACTGCTTACCCCCCTCCACCTGCACAGGACCCAACCTCAGAAGATTCTAGAGCTCTCCTCTGCTCTGGGGAGCAGGCATGAACTGCGCATTCCTGGAGCTGTGGAGAAAGCCGCCTCCCACTCAATTCCTTTTTCTTCAGCTCATAGCCAGCACCTCTTTGTTCCTCTTCCAATGCTTGTCCACGTCGTCTTCCTCTTTAAAAGCAAAAAAACCCCAAACCCTTAATTTTCCTCCATGTGTTGTGTGTCTTCGAACCCTCGCTTCCATCCCTTCCCTGCTCCCTATTCCCCTTCGCGGGTGTCAGCGCACATGAAAGGGACTGATCTTCTTCGTGGTCTCTGTGCATCACACCCTTGGGATATACTGCGCCTGCGCTGACCTTCTCGGTACCGGTAGCTAGCAAAAGGGATTTTCGCGCCTCTCCCAGGTCACGCGCCGGCTCCACTGCGCATGACCAAGGAGGGGCACGCAGATCCCGCCAGTTCTTTTCTGACCGCCGCGCTGGTAGGACGCCTTCTGCTTCGGTCTGTTAAGTACCTAACTTTCTGCTAAACTTGCGTTTAGTTAGTTTCCTTTTCTTTATTTTGTTTTTTGTAGTTAGCATTTTTCTTCGGTGTGTTTGTTCCTTGTCTTTAACGTTTCCCCCTCCGCTGGCCTATGGCCCCGCGGTGGGGTTGTTTCAAACGGTGTAAGACTTGCGGCCTTAAAATATCTCCCACCGACGGGCATTCGCTTTGCCTCGTCTGTTTAGGGGAGTCGCACTGTGTTTCTAAGTGCGGACATTGCCAGAAATTCTCGAACCAGACGAGAAAAAACAGGGCAGCTCGTCTGCACTTGGCTTTGATGGAGAAGGCGCTATCTCCACAGTCGTCTTCGCCGTTGGACACGTCCGGGCACGCCTCGATGTCCACCCTGGCTGCGGACACTTGTCCTCCCGTTTCGGGACCATCGACGTCGACGGTCGCAATCGATGCTTCGGCACCGAAACGATCGACGCCGATAAAAGACCACCCCGTACCTTCCAAGATCCGGAAGCAGGGGATATCTGATGCC